ATGGCAAGCAGTGAGTCCATCCGCCCCTGACCACAGGGGGTCGCGCCGAATTGCCAAAGTTCCGACCTCGACATTGTTCTCGCCCGACCACGATATCTCGGCGCGGTCATACCGAAAACGATAAACCGACTTGTTGGAGTCCAGCGGCGGGCGGCAGTCGACGCGGGGGTGGCGGGCGCATAGGGGTTGGACAAGGGCGTCAGCCCCGAGCGGTAGGGGTAGGAGGGCCGAGGGAGGGGGGTAAGTAGGGTTGGGAGCATTAACACGGGAGAAGGAAGCAATTACCTCGCTGTCAATCAACTGGCCGCAGAAAGTCACCGAGAGTGAGAAGTTAAGGTCAGAGTAAGAGCCGAGGATTGCCAGGCAGGAAGGACCAGGGAGACAAAGGGGTAGGGAGGAGGGTGGGGTGCAGCACTGCGAGGCAAAAGCACTTGTCGTGACCCTTGACCCCTTGACCAGCACAATAGTCACAACGAGGGGGACGTCCCAGTGCCCGCTGAGCTCGCACTCAACACGCGCCGCCCCCGCGCACACCTGAAAGGGGCGGAGAGAAGGGGGACGGGGGCGTGGGGGCGTCAATGAAAAACATAGGGGTGGGGGGTGTGTTGTGTGCCCCGCTCAAGTGCGTTACGCCTTTTTTTGCCAAGCATAAAAACGTGGCAGGGTCACGTGGGGATGAGGGGGGGTGGTCCGATCCGACCACCTCATGGTAACAGAGTACGGAACGGTACGGAAAGCAAATACAAAGTTAATGCCCTGCTCCCCTCCAAAAGACAGACCAACCCCCACCGTTCGCTTACCCGCGCTGTCCAAACTTTAATTCCGTACCACTTTCCGGGATCCAACTCGCTTTTTACCGCACTGGCATTTGCTATTTACCATACCCACTCAATTCAACCGTCATTTGTTTTTTCGTCCCCCCGGCGGAGAGCTGGCAGCGCGTTGTGAAAAGGGGGGTGGGGGGTGGCAGTCGCTGCCGCGTCAAATTCGCATTTATATTCATATGCAATCCCCTTCCACTGTTCTCTCACTGCCTTTCGTCACGAGGGAATCGACGTGGGG